AATAAAATCAGTCGTTTTTGTTTTATAGAGAGAACTCTTCTCCTTTTGTTTAGCATTGTTTCATTTGGGTTGCGCAGTATAATCCAAAGTATGTTGTATACTGTAAACGTTTTTCGTCACATCCATAACACATGTTAATATTTTTCTGCTCATATAAACTCTGTAGTTAGTTGTTTTGGAAAATATAAACAGATGTTTTAATACAATGTTAAATACTTTCACTGTGAATTTATGTTTTGAGATTTTACTGCAAATGTCACATCCGTAATGCTGGATTGCTCATATATATATACACACACACACACACACACATATACATATATATATACATATACATATATATATATATATATATATATGATTTCAAAAACAATAAACATATTACATACTCAAAAAATGTATCACAAATAACCACATTTGAAATAAAAGCTTGTATTTACATAATATATATGTACTGTGCATATTTATTTTATAATCATACTTAGTGCTCGAATAGATGTTTAAAACAGCAAGAATACATCTGAATTTAATTCAATTGACATCTAAATCTTAACAACACCAAAAACGAAATAGTTTTGAATTTCAGATTGAACTCAAAAAATGGCATTTCATTTATTTCTATCATGTCTTTATGAGATTTCATGTTCCATAAAAATGCTTCATATTATACTTAATCCAACACTACTTTCTAAAACAGCTTTTTGAAGCATCCCTTAAAATCTGGAATATAATAGTGATTATGTTAAACAGAGTGAAAAAAAATAATGAAATATATCTGTGGAGTGAAACTGACCTGAACAAAGCGCTATTAATCAGTATTAATGAGGAAATGTAAATGAGACGTGTCTGTTCTGGTTAATTGTTCCCGAGGGTGTCCTGAAATTACCAAGAATTTTAAATCCTTCTTATTTATTTATTATAATTCAAGTCCTGTTCATTTAGTGGAGATAAAGCAAAGACACCAGTATTAGCTCAACTGTGCAGCAGCGCTCAGGTTTGG